CAGCCTATACACGAGAAAAGCTGGTCTCACCTCGTAATATTGCTTCTGCTTATCACTGGATTGTGCCAAAGCACTGTACGAAAGCCACTCGGGTATATTGCCATTGTAGAAATCATCAATTGTTTCATCATCCCACCGCCAATTTTCGTCTCCAGAACCTTATTTTAAAACATTTCCAACATAGTCAGGAGGATCACAACATTTCACAAAGCAAAATAAACCACACACAAAGCAAAACTCACCTTCAGGTTTGGGTTTTATTCTACAAACTTCAGTTATTATTCGATTGTCTCCGTTACTCATAGAACCAACTCTCACAACACACGTCTGGAAAGTGAAATGTGAACTGTCTGCTGGATCCATAACTTCCATGTTTATATAGTAAGCACAAATACCACGAAGACATGAATTATATTTCACTAATTCCAACAACTGGAAGTTTAAGCCCTGTATTGATTGAAAAATTAGTACTACTAATCAGATATATTTTGAAAAATCAAAAACCAAAAATCTTGAATAATCAGAGTTACCTTTTGAAAATTGTACCAATGGAGTCCGATCCTACCACAAATGCCAATCTCACTGTGAAAGTCTTTTTCATTCGTCAATGTGAACGGCAAGAACGAACTATTTGGAAGCATACCCATGCCACGCATACTCATGTCAAGATCGAATCCCTTTGAGTCGCATGCATGTAAAACCCCACAATTACAAGAAAATCGTTCACATTGTTAAGAATCATAAATCCATAGACACAATGAGCTCGAGAAATATATTAAGAAAAAAAAAAGACATGAATCAGAAGAAGTCATATATACGTCGGATTCTTGAAGTTGGAGATGATACTTTTGTGCAAGAACCGGATCGACATCATCGTCCGATGACCATTCAACATGATCATCATCGACTGGATTCTCCACTTTAACGAATATTCCATTGACCACGGTAAAACCTCCCGTAACTGTTCTCGGTGGCACGGTGGTTCCTTGGACCTTACGCTTGCGTTGTGGAGGTTCGTCGTCGTTTGTAGCCATATCTCTAGATCTCCCCAAACCCTTATTGGGACTTGGTAGTGGCAGAAATAATTTAATTGTGGTCTATTTCCTAAAAATAGTTCTTATAAATTTATTAAATAATAGTAAAACTTCACAAGTCAAAACAACTCGATATATAGCTCTTAAGATAAAGAGCTTGATAACGTAGCTCATAAGCCTATTTCACTTACATTAGGGTAAATGTAGATCCAAAAAAGTGTGTAGAATAACAAACACTTTTCTATTTGGGAAATTGGCATAAATAACCTAAAAAAAAATTATAATATAAAATCTAACCAAAATCCACTTTTT